ACCTTGTTACGTATCCCCAGCCCCCCACCCTTTGCTGCTCCAGTGGCAGGAGCAAGGGTGGGGCCAGACCCCCATAGCTAGAGGGGAAGTGGGGGTTTAATCCCCCACATTGAAGCGGGGGGAGAGGCGCAGGAGCAGGGCACTGTGGGCACCAATAGGCTTGCTCATGCACCTGGAGCTGCAGCAGCCAGACAGCAGGGGCCCAGCCCTGCAGCCTAGGGGTGTAGGCAGCTACTGGCCCATGACAACTTGCCCAGAGCGCACAGCACCGCTGTAAGCAGGCAGGTAACACGTGCCTCACTTCTGCCCGCCACAATGGTTCTCTCCACCGCCACTGGGAGAGGAAGGGGCGGGCTGCCGTGGGCCAGTCACTGCTTATTGCCCTAGGCCGTGGGGCTGGGCCTAACTGGTGGTCCATTAGCTTCCCCTGCTGCTACCCAAGCCTCTGGCCCACAGAAGCCCGGCCCAAAATTCCTCCCAGCGCAATGCAGCCCAGGAGCATAGGCAGCAATTAGTCCAGGGCAACCCACCTCTCCCTCTCCTGCTGCCAGCGGAGGGAACCATTGCGGCATGCAGAGATGAGGCACCTGTCACCTGCTGGCTACATGAAATGGTCACTGCCACAGAATAGTCACTACAGCCCACCTGCTGCCACAGCCCCTGTGTGGGGCTGGGGGAGATAGGCACTGCCACCTGGGGCCACCCCAGTCCAGGCCATGCTGCTGCACAGGGAGGCAGCGGTGAATCAGTGTGTAGCCACGGCTCCCCCACACCTGCAGCCAGGTCACAGTGGCCCTCCCTGCAGCCAGCTGGCCATTCCTCAGAGGGACTTGGCCCAGGGCACTGTGTTGGTGCCCCCACCGCTGCTGCCTGCAATGGTGGGATCGACCCCCTACCCTTTCCTCAGGCTACTGGCATCTGGCCACTGCAGCCCCAGGTGCACAGCCCTGGGTGCACAAGTGGAGCCTATAAGTGCCTGCGCAGGCCCTCCTGCAATGGGGGAATAAGCCCCTGCTACTGTTCAGGCCACTGGGGTCTGGGCCCACCTTTGCTCCTGCCACCCGCCAGTGAGTGAGCAGGGCTAGGGACCCCTGACAGGGGCTGCTTCCCCACTCCCCCTCCAGGTGCACGCTGGCAGGGGTCCCTGCAGACCAGGGTGGGAGTTTAAACCCCTCCCCAATCATACTCAGATCTGCCTGGGCCTGGCCACCTCCCCCCCAGCTTAGTTTTCCTCTAGCCAAGGGCTGCTCTAGCACCCCCGAGCTTGCGGCCTGAGCCACTGCAGGCATGTGCCTACATTTCCAGAGTAAAAAATCAATATCTATTCACTTGCAAATTGGTTCAATCTATGCAGGTTACCCTAACCTGCAAAGACTGAATCAATTCAGGCTCTGGGTTTTTGAATGTCTGTCCCTAGCCTACACCTTTCTCTAAAATGTTGCAGGCAATATAGCACAGGATAGGATAAAAATCAGCATTTGAAATGATATCTAATCACCAGCAAAGAAAAAGATTCATTTAATGGCTGGTTTAAAAAGAGTGCAATAAAAAATAAAGCTATTTCTTTCCTACGTATTTTCATTAGTACCAGAATATTAATAACAAATTAGAGCCTAACAGTATGTTTTAAGGATATATTTTTATCTTGGGTCTCTGGCTGATTTATGTTTAGTTACTTGAGCTTTGTTCGTTTATAATTTGACCTACAGGCAAGCATATATCTTCTTCCTTTGGGAAAATACACAGTATAATCATTGAATGTTTATACCCATATATAACATATAATGCGTGTGTGTATGTATATGTATTTACTAGTACATATACCCTCCCCCTTATACACATGCTCATCCATGTGCGTCTCTGAGGATTACACTATAATACCTTTGAAACTGCAATTTCAATGGAATGCCAAATTCTTTACAGCAATAAGAGAAGCATTCATACTGTTTCAGTATAATTAAAATTCAAATGACTCCAGCTTCAATACATTAACATACATTAAAACTATATGCCACCATTCACACACAAAATCTCTGTCACTTACCATTTTCCAGGCATAACTGACATTGTAGGCTTCTTTTCCAATTTCTCTCAGTTTGTTTACATGCCAAGACAGTGAGGAGTTCACTGGGACTGTAATAATCTGACTGCCCAAAGGGAGGCTATGTTGGCAACAAACAACATCCAACGTTTTATTAAATATTAGAAAAAACTTCGAGTCAAATAAATCCTCCTACTGCTTTTATATAAAATGCGATTACTTGTAAGAGCTCGCTAAAAGTCTGCTTTTAATTAGGTAAGAACAGAGGCATTCATCTGTATTTCCTCTTGGCATAATGTTGCACAATTTAAGCAAAAACTGGCTTTTTCAGTACAAATGAAGAAGATGAAATGACTTGGCCCTTACATTTTTATTAAAAAAGATGCATGGAAATATTGGTCATAGTTTATCCCATCCTGACTACATGTTTCTCTTGGAATGGTACTATTTCTCTCTCAATTTAAAAAGTAAAGAGTAAGCACATTTAAAATTAGCTGTAAAGTACAGAACCAGAAGGGTTTAAATTTACAGAATTTCTAATGCACATCACACTGTACCCCAAGCCATTCCCTTTTAGTTAGCTAGTTGGGAACAGTGAAGTCCCTGCACATTGGGAGTCTTGTCTAGTTCAATATCACGCCTGCTCTTAAGAACAGAACAAAGCAGATGAGCTGAAATGAGAACACAAGTACAGTATACATTGGCACTCCTGCGAGACCATGGAGAGTGTGGAGAGGGATACCAGTTGAGAAGCAGATTTCTGTATTTCTTTCCACAATTGCAGGAACCCTAAGGTATTAACAATACAATAAATGTAATAAATTCCCTCACTATTAATCAGTTCAGCAAGGACTCAGCCAGACTGTAGAAATTCCTTCCCATCCCTTCCTCATGATAAGAAACATGCTCGCACCTGTTGTGCCTACCTTCCAAATTAATTAAGTACACAAACAAGTGTGTGTGCGTGTGTATGCGTGTGTGTGCGCGCGCGTGCGCAGAAGCTGCAGGCAAGCAGAGGCGGGGGCTAGGAGGCTGCTGGGGGCCCGATTTGGGCCTGACCCAGGCTCAGGGTGAGAGTCTGAGCTGCAGCAGCAGCCTGTCCCCTACCCTGCTTTGTACACGGAAAACTAAGATGAGGGGGTTCCCCCCATGCTGATTAAGGGAGGGGAAACTGTTACAGATTCGAGTAAATATGGTAATATAGCAAGCTTCCAAGGTGACATATAACCTACTGGATCCAGCTAACAGTGCTACTATTGCACAGCACCCTGTAGTAATGGATCTCAGTATTCCAGGGTGCCACGGGTCCCTGGTTGAGAATCACTGTCATAGAGAATCACACTGAGCACTCATGGGGTTGGAAAGAGGGGTGGTGAGTTGACTCTCATGAACAGAGACATCCAAACTAGGCAAGATGTGAATACTACAAGGGACACCATCATAACCTGAGATGTGTGTCAATGCAGGGGGAAATGGGGATCACAAGAGGCCATAACGCTAAATGTTTCTCTGGTAGAAGAATGGCAGGAAAGGGGAGTAGCTTCTGTGGGGCTGCTACTACTCACTCAGCCTTGGGGGATAAGCAGAGATTCCCCCCCATTCCCAAAGCACTGGCTTCCATAGTTGGGCCAGCATGCTAAGGCTAGTAATATGCACCAGAAATAGGACTAGCCCAGAATACCCCCTCCCTCTGGAACAAAAGTGAAAATCTGATCCCTGGTCTGCTCAGTGCTGCCTGGTCTGCTCAATCCCTTGCTCAGGCAAAGCCACCATCTAGCCCAGGGGCGGGCAATTATTTTGGGTGGAGGGCCGCTTACGGAGTTTTGGCAAGCTGTTGAGGGCTGCATGGATAGCCCCGCCCCCTGACAGGTGCCCTGCCCCTGAGCTGCCATCTTGAGACCATAAGTCCCGTCCCTAACCTCTGACCTTTGCCACCGGATGTCCCTCCCCTTGCCCCTGGAAGTATTCCTTTGTGGAAGAGGGTTTGCTATCCTAGCAGGGAAAAAGATTACAAACTAAAAATCAAACAACCATAATAATATATTTTAATTTATTAGTGGTCTGCTCTCCATTGCCACAGGTGCTCTGTGGGGCAGCGGTGATGCAGCAGAGACGCAGGACCACCCCGCGCAGGCGACAAGTAGCTGCAGCAGGGAGCACTGACCATGGGGAGGGGGAGTGGCCGCTTTTCCCGTGCTGAGCACCAGCTCGCTCCCTGCTGCTGCTGCTCAGTCTAGATGGGCGAGTGTGGGGCACGTGGGGTCAGGGCTCCCCACCTGTACCGCAGGGCTGGGGTGAGGGCACTCAGAGTGAGGAGGCGCACGGGAGCCAGTGGCAGCTGGACAGGAGCGCAGGGCCCCTGCTGTTGTTCTGGGGTCAGCGCTGGTGGAGCCCAGAGCAGGGTGGCAGGGGTACAGGGTCCCGGCCAGCAGGAGCTCTATGCAGCTGGGCCAGCTCCCCCCTCTCCCTGCTGGTGCAGCCCAGCCCGGCTCCACAGACCCCTGCCAGCCCACACCCTGTGCTCCTACCACCCCATGATATTCATGCAGGCTCCTGCTCATTTCCACTTCCTCCTGCCCCCACTTTCCCACCCACCCGCTAACTCCTGGCTGGACCGTGGGACTCAGCAGGAGCTGGCCCAGCCCCAAGGACTGGG